ATCATAATAATAAAATTTCAATAAGAGCTGTTGGCTATGATAAATGGATATACAATTAGAACATTTTGTCTTCGATGTAAATTTTCCTTTTGCTCTTCTTTTTGTGAATGTTGATATTATCTTCTCTCACACCTACAATCTGCAAACTACTACAACACATAACTATTTACAAAAGAGAATAAAATTTTATTTTCGATAACTCCATACAATATTTACCTCTTTCCTTATAGAAAATGTTTATATAAGTGGTTATTTGTCTTATGAAACGAACGAAATGGCCTAAGACGTACATATTTTGATAAACGTCTCATGAGATGAGATGGGATGGGACAGAAATTGCGAAAATTTATCCTATCTCATGGCACATTTATCAAGCTATTTACATCCTATCTTGTGCCGTGGGATGGAATGAAAACATTCTATCTCGTGGGAAGTTCTGACATGTATAAAGATCATTCGTATTCCATAGATATATATGCATAAATTCGCACATATTTATACGGAAACTCGTTATAATGCTGTTAGCATAGGTAAGATTGAGTATTATTTCTTCCTTATGCCCGTTATAATCGATATTTGTCGTACTAGAATAAACGAAAAAAGACTATAAAGAAAATTAGATAAATTCGGTATTTCAATATCAATATCTATCATTCCCTTCGATACTTACTAAAATTTTACCAAATCTAAACCGTTTAGAGGTTAGCTCTGGGTTTCGGTCTACACTCTAAGCGCATTGAACCATTTGAGTTCGGATATAACTACGTCTGTCTTACGTCGATTCTGTATATTCAAACTATTTTTTTTGTGTAAATAGAAGTAAAAACATATTTCTATGTTTTACATTGTCAATTATCAAAGTTAAATTAATTGATAAATATAAGTACTAGACCAATATCATCTGTTATTCTCGTGTCGAGTATTGCGAGAGGCTTTCCGAAAGAAATATTCATAGACGCATGCTGATTTTCTGATTCCAGTTATGATCCAAAAACATTATTTCAATGAAATTCAGAAGTTGTTTTAAACAGAATAGATAATATAAAGCCTTTCACGAATTAGAAGTCCTTCCCATAATAGGAGACTCTTTTCTCGTTAATAATCAAACATTCTTTCTAGGATATAAAAGAAGAAAAATATAGATTAAAAAATACACTCTCATGGTTGAGTTTTTAAAATAATTTCTGTAGTTTTATTTGTGTTCTTTAGTGCCTGCTTATATCTAAGTTCGATTGGAGCAATATTTTGCGACCATCAAACTAGCGTTGTATTAGTTCTGATTTAAACCATTTATGAGATAAATTTGATTAAAGAACTAGTTGAAAAAGCATTCGTTCATGAAAAATCTTCTCTGGATGTAATTACGTAAGTTATCTTTATGGGTATCATTAGTATTTTTTGACCTCATTAAGTACGAATATGATAAGTATACAAAAGCGTATCTGTCATGCGTAATTATGTCTGCAATTCAGATATTTAAGTATACACCTATTGCTTAAAAATGATATTTTTCAAGATCTGTAATTGATATGTAGTAAAAAGATACTGCTTTATTACTAGACTCAGTATATATAATAATCTAAAATAAGTTTCCTAAGAGAACTGCATGTCATCAGAATAGGATAAAATTTTTTGCTCTTCAAATCTAGTTCGTGCTATGAAAATCTATATTATAGACACTTTAGAACATTTACTTGTAAATTGCATTCAGGCATGTTTTAAACAAGAAACACGTTCAAACATGTTTAAATAATTTTACCAACCGCATCTTGATGTGTTTTCAGCAAGAAACTCGCATAGTCGTGTTGGAAAATATTTTTTTACCGCACCTACATGTGTTCTATTACAAAATTACATTTTAATGCCGTTTGGTGCATATATGGTGAAAAAAAGGCGTTTCCATACATATAAAACATGACGAACTTGAGGCATGCTCTACTTTAAAAGAAGTCTTTCTCAGATAGAAATAGGTTCAGTAGAAATATGTTTCATAAGAATTGAAATGCGTACTCTGCTAATGTGTTCTTTACCTGAATTCGATCACGTTCGTGGTTCCAAAGACCAAATTTTCATTTGATAGAAGTATGTGTCTGAAAGCACATGTTCGGATATGCTCTGTGATGTGTGCATTGTATGAGTAAGAATCCATTTCTTTTTGCAGACAACATATAACAATGCTTTTCGATGTAACAGTTGATGAAGAAGCTCTGCATTAATTTTGTTTTTGATATAAGAGTGTAATAGAATTATTGTAGAAATCCCTTCCTTTTCTTTGTTAGAAAGAGTGAAGTGTCTAGTACAAAAATGTACACAACAATTTGATTGAAAGTATTTGTTACACTCGACAGAAACTTCAGAACAGCAAGTACGGAATTAATTAACACATTTGACACGATTGAACCGACCTATGAGACTCACTATAGGATAGTCCAACACTTCTTTTACTGCAGAAAAAATTGAATATCTCTGCCATATTTTGACGGAAGAGACTGGTTCTTTCACCCCTGGTAAAGAGATGTTCACAGCTCATATTCATAAGAGAAACGTTGATAAAAAAAAACTGTCTTGAAGTATTGCAATTGTCTTTAATAAAGAAATGGGAACTTCTGTGAAATATAGAAAACCAATATTAGTAACACGGCGAACTAGTTAGAAGGGAAGAACATTTAGAGTATGTAAACTCCGAAGAAAAAGTTCCTCTTTTCCATATTTGTAGCTATTTATCCTTTCTTTTAAATAAAATTTAGTTTCGAAGCGTACCCATAAAAAGTAATGAAAATCTGCTATTTTTTTTGTTTTTATCAGCAATCAATGGTACGATGTTTGACATAACTTCTCGATGAATTTCTCTATCGAAACAATCGAAATTCTTACTGATTAATATACAGAACACGTCAAAAATATATTTTAATATATACAAAATTTTATTTTTCTTTCTCATAATAATGTTACCACTGTTGCCATCAAATAATGATGATAATGAACAAAATGTTAGTGATTCATTATATGACTTATGTAAAGCAAATGATATAGAAAAACTTCGAAGTATATTACCATTTATTGGCAATAGAAATATTATAAATAAAATTCACACTTCAATTGGTTCAACATGTTTACATGTTGCATGTTATTATGGATATTCAGATATGGTACAGATTCTATTAGAATATGGTGCTCGACGTTCTATAAGAAATTTACGACACAGTTTAACACCTTATGAAGAAGCTTATGCACATCATATAAAACAATTATTTGTCAAACAACAACAATTATTTTCGAATAATGATTATGATTACATTGAATGGTCAATAGTAGGCGATGATCTCCTTTATAAACGACGCGAATTTCTTCAAGCTATTGATTTATACAAAACCTATGACAGTCATAATTTAATATCAAAATTATTAGCTGAAGTTATACATTATTATTTAAATAAATATCTGGCAAATCAAAATAATCATATTGGCAATCCACAAGATCGAATTACTTCTAAACAAGTTGAAACTATTGAAGCATATTTTAAAGAAGCCATAGATCAACAAGATTATCTAACATATTTTATAAAAGCTTATACATTACCAAGTGGTTTTCATAGAGTATTAAATAAACACTTGGCTCTTTATGTATTAGACTATTTTGATGAATCAAAAAATTTTTTATCAACTTATCGTCTTGTAAATTGTCTTGCGCATATGGTTACACTATTAATTTATCATCCAAATTTATCTCAATATC